TATGCCGGCCGAGTCTATCTGCGCCGCCCTGAGAATGACCTGAGGCCGAAGCCTAACTACGACACTTGGCCAGACACCAGACTGATTTAGTCTGATGTCTGATCGGCCGCTTAGCCGCTCCTGTCGGCGACACGCGGCCCGCAACTGATTCCTCCTCCTCCTCCTCCTCGTCCTCCTCTTCCCCCCACCCCTGCACCATGTCCCGAGCCTGTGACAGGGTCATCAGCTCGTCGCTCTCGTTGTCGTCGTGGTCGTCGTCGTGGTCGTCGCCGTCGTCCTTCTGCGTCGGCGGACCGGTCGTAAGACCTTCACCATAATTGCGTACTCGCCGCTTCACTGGGCCCAACCAATTTGGCGCATTCAGCATAGCATCCTTAGAATCGAAAAAGGCAAACAATAATACCAGTCCAGATTGCTATTCATGGATGTGAGATGTTTCTGTCCACTTGCAGCATTCCGTCCGTATTCAACTTGGTAGACACGCTCGGCGCCACTGGTTCACAGGGCACCCATCCCGGAGAAACGATTTTTCCCCACATCCAAAGTGGGGTTCTTGTTTTCTCTGCACACCCCGCGCAGGAACACTCACCCCACCCCCTCTCCTCTTCTGCCTTCGCACACTCACTCACTCACTCATCATCATCACCACTCACTCACACTCACACTCATTCACACTCTCTCATCATCAACATCAGCATCATCACTCGCGCTCTCTCACACGCTCAGTCACTCACATACTCATCATCATCATCATCATCATCATCATCATCATCATCATCATCATCATCATCGCACTCTGTCACACGCTCACTCATTCACATACTCACCTGGAGGAAGTCTCAGGCGGGAGTTCGTCTGTGAGTGAATTGTGAGGAAGTCTCAGGCGGGAGCCCCCTCCCTATGGGGCCCGCAGATCATGTTGGTAATCCGAGCGGGTCATCCGAAACGTGTAACTGTCGTCATGTTTGGGCTCTTGAGGCCTGAATATACGTGAAGAGCGAGGAACTCTCAGGCGGGAGCCCCCTCCATATGGGGCCCGCACTTCATGTTCGAATCCGAGCGGGTCATCCGAAACGTGTAACTGTCGTCACTTTTGGGCTCTTGAGGCCTGAATATGGAGGAAGTATCAGGCGGGAGACTCGCCTGTGAGTGAATTGTGAGGAAGTCTCAGGCGGGAGCCCCCTCCCTATGGGGCCCGCACTTCATGTTCGAATCCGAGCGGGTCATCCGCAACGTGCAACTGTCGTCACTTTTGGGCTCTTGAGACCTGAATATGAATGAATTGCGAGGAAGTCTCGGCTGGAGCCCCCTCCCTATGGGGCCCGCACTTCATGTTTGAATCCGAGAGGGTCATCCGACACATGTAACTGTCGTCATTTTCGGGCTCTTGAAGCGTGAATATGGAGGAAGTATCAGGCGGGAGCCTCGTCTACTTTTGGGGTCTTGAGACCTGAATATGGAGGAAGTCTCGAGCGGGAGCCTCGTCTGTGAGTGAATTGCGAGGAACTCTCAGGCGGGAGCCCCCTCCCTATGGGGCCCGCACTTCATGTTCGAATCCGAGCGGGTCATCCGAAACGTGTAACTGTCTTCACTTTTGGGCTCTTGAGGCCTGAATATAAGTGAATTGCGAGGAAATCTCAGGCGGGAGCCCCCTCCCTATGGGGCCCGCACTTCATGTTCGAATCCGAGCGGGTCATCCGAAACGTGTAACTGTCGTCACTTTTGGGCTTTTGAGGCGTGAGTATGGAGGAAGTATCAGGCGGGAGCCTCGTCTGTGAGTGAATTGTGAGGACGTCTCAGGCGGGAGCCCCCTCCCCATGGAGCCCGCACTTCACGTTCGAATCTGAGCGGGTCATCCGAGCGAGCTTTTTGGGCTTCTCAGTTCCTGCGGCCGCCCCCTCCCTATGGGGCCCGCACTTCATGTTCGAATCCGAACGGGTCATCCGAGCGAGCTGTTTGGGCTCCTCAGTTCCTGCGGCCTGAACACGGGGGAAGTATCAAGCGGGAACTTTGTCTGTGGGCGGTGCGGGTAGCCCCGTCTGAGGACCGTCTCTTGTTGTCACTTGGAGGTCTGAGGACGGAATTTAAGACCCATTTTGAAGATCGAAAGGGAACTCGCTCCTGCGGCCTGAATACCGAGGAGTTACCCAGCGGGAGCTTCGTCTGTGAGCGAAGTGCAGGTGGCCCCGTCTGAACTGGAGGGGCTGACGATGACGACGACGACGCGGCGGCCGGGCGCCGGGGTAGCCCCTTGCGTCCGGGCCGGGGGTGGTAACCCATCCTCGGCCGAATCGGGGGCAGGGGTAACCCCTTGTCTCCGGGCTGGCGGTGGTGACCCATCGTCAGCCGAATCGGGCGCAGGGGGGAACCTTTGCGTCCGGGCCGGGGGTGGTAACCCATCCTCGGCCGAATCGGGGGCAGGGGTAACCCCTTGTCTCCGGGCTGGCGGTGGTAACCCATCGTTAGCCGAATCGGGCACAGGGGGACCCCTTGCGTCCGGGCCGGGGGTGGTAACCCATCCTCGGCCGAATCGGGGGCAGGGGTAACCCCTTGTGTCCGGGCTGGCGGTGGTAACCCATCGTCAGTCGAATCGGGCGCACGGGGAAACCCTTGCGTCCAGGTTGGCGGTGGTAACCCACCGTCAGTCGCCCACAGAAAACGCCCTGCGTGTTCGTGGGTAAGGGGCCACTAACGCAATTTTTCCCCACATCCAAAGTGGGGTTCTTGTTTTCTCTGCACACCCCGCGCAGGAACACTCACCCCACCCCCTCTCCTCTTCTGCCTTCGCACACTCACTCACTCACTCATCATCATCACCACTCACTCACACTCACACTCACTCACACTCTCTCATCATCAACATCAGCATCATCACTCGCGCTCTCGCACACGCTCAGTCACTCACATACTCATCATCATCATCAGCATCATCATCATCAGCAGCATCATCATCATTGTCATCATCATCATCATCATCATCATCGTCATCATCATCATCATCAGCATCATCTTCATCATCGTCATCATCATCATCATCATCATCATCAGCATCATCATCATCATCACCCGCACTCTGTCACACGCTCACTCATTCACATACTCACCTGGAGGAAGTCTCAGGCGGGACTCTCGTCTGTGAGTGAACTGCGAGGAAGTCACAGGCGGGAACCCCTCCCTATGGGGCCCGCGTTTCATGTTGGTAATCCGAGCGGGTCATCCAAACCCTGTAACTGTCGTCACTTTTGGGTTCTTCAGGCCTGAATTTGGAGGAAGTCTCAGGCGGGAGCCTCGTTTGTGAGTGAACTGTGAGGAAGTCTCAAGCGGGAGCCCCCTCCCTATGGAGCCCGCGCTTCACGTTGGTAATCCAACGGGTCATCCAAACCTTGTAACTGTCGTCACTTTTGGGCTCTCGCGCTGCCAGAACGCCATTCCCGGGCCACATTGTGCATGCCTGGAGCCAACTGTAGGCCACTTCGTGTTTTTCGTGTTCCCAGAACACCATTCCCGGGCCACATTTTGAAACCCCGGAGCCAACTGTAGGCCACTTCGTGTTCTTCCTGTTCCCAGAACACCATTCCCGGGCCACATTCTGGATGTCCGGGCCGCGAGCTGCTTCGCCCGCGGCAGAGCTGGGCTTCGTGCTGCCCGCCTGAGCGCGGCTGCGCCCCGCTCGAAGCCCGCGGGGTTGTCCCAACTGCTTGGTCTTGCGCGCAAGCGGCTCGCGGGGTTGTCCCGACAGCCTGGCCCGCGGGGTTGTCCCAACGGCTGCGCGACGTGGGCATTAGAGAACGCGCCTGTGCTGGCCGAGGCGGCGACGGCGCCGAGGAAAACCGACATGCGCGCTCGTGCAATGGAAAGGCGAGGCGGTGGCGGGGCGCGAAAAAAACAGGAGGGCGAGGTCGGGGGCAACGTAGGGAGCGGGGGGAGGGCCCGCGCCAGGGCGAGAAGAAATACACGCAGAAGAGACAGTCAGGACGCCTCACCAACCACGAGGACGACGGTGAGCGCTTTTTCCAGATTCGCCCAGAGGATTCTCATGTGGGATCCTTCCGTCGGAGTAATTCGTTTGCGCTTGTCGGCAGCATCCCCTAAATCATCTACATGTGCTGTTCATGTCATTCACGCGTGCTTCTGCTTGACAACAAGGTCATCAATCAACGAGGGATCCAGCACAAAGCACAGAAGATTGGTACAAGCACGTTTGGGTTAGATAAGGTGTTTCTGATAGGTTTGCCGACGTTGACAGCGGCCGATCACATATTGTTAGCATTACTGGGTTTCGACCTTAGCAATTGCAACGTGATGGTCACCACCGTACCAAAAACCGACCAAACAAGACAAGCCAATACCGTACCGCGCCAGGCGGTCAAGACCACCGTACCTTGGGAATCCCAAAAGTACCGATACCGCTGCTCCCCGGACTTCTCCTGGGGTGCGTTCTGACCGGAATTTCGAGGCGAATCCAGCGGTGACGACTAGGGCCGCCCAGGAGGCCCAAAAAGGGGAAAACGAGCAAAGGGTAGAGGTGTGGGTACTTTTTTCTCCTCTGAATACCGGCCGATACCGTACCGGCCACGACCAGCACTGGCGCACCAGCCCGTACCGTACCGTACCGTACCAGACGATATCGTACCGTATCCGGGGCTGGCGCGCCGCAGCCCAGTGCAGGGCTGTGCTCAGCTCGGCGCCCCACCACTCAGCAAGGGCGCTGGCGTCGGCGTCGGCCTCGGCCTCGTCATTCTCCTCCTCCTCCTCCTCCTCCTCCTCCTCCTCCTCCTCCTCCTCCTGCTCCCCTCCTCCTCCTCTCTCTCCTCCTCCTCCTCCTCCTCCTCCTCCTCCTCCTCCTCCTCCACCCTCCCTCCCTCCTCCCTCCCTCCCTCCCTCCCCTCCTCCCCTCCTCCCTCCTCCCTCCCCTCACCTAACCACCCAAGACGCCCACCACACCGCACCCCCCACCTCCCCGTACCCTGCCTGCCCCCCCACCTCTCCGCCCCAGCGTCCTTGTGCACGACGTGCCCGCACTGGAGCTTTCGAACGACCTCATCGGGGACGGCTTCCTCGAGGCGTTTCGGGGGACAAGAAGGAGCACGAGAAGAATGAGAAGGAGAAGAATGAGGAGGAGGAGGAGGAGGAGGAGGAGGAGGAGGAGGAGAACGACGACAACGACGAGGGCCGGAGAAAACCCACGCTGCATCAACGGTGCTGCAGCACACCCTCTCGTCCCAGGCCGGTCCCTGCAAGCAGCTCTGCTCACAACGGGGTGCTGCAAGATGTCCCCAAGAAGGCCCAAAGGCCCACGAGAGAACCCTCAGCGAGCTCCGACTGGACTCCAAGAAAGGCAGATGCCTCCAGAATGGCCCCAAGAAGTCCATGAGGCCCCGAGATGGCCCAAATCAGCTTCCAAGAGGCTCCCAGCCCAAGACGCCTTCGAGACGCCCCAAGAGCCTTCCCAAGAGGGCCCCGACAGGCAAAAATACATGATTTCCTATGGTTGTTCATTGTTTCTGGGGTTATCGTCTTCCCCAGCGTCCGACGCTCCAAGACGGCCCAAAAAGCCGAGAAGACTGCCCCAAAACTGGCTAAGCGGCCTCTACAGGGGCCCCAGAGTGGCCCAAGAGGGTTCCAAGACGGCCCAAAGAGAGGCCCAAGACGGCCAAAGATTGGCCCAAGAGGGCCCCAAGAGAGGCGAAGAAGAAAAACGCGAACCGAAAATTCTATATTACACCATGGCCCAAGAAGCCCCAAAGCGGCTCAAAAGAGGCCCCCAATCAGCCCCAAGAGACCCCCAAGAGGCCCAAAGAGGCCCCAATGGCGGCCGCAAACACGCTTCGAAACTGTCTCCAAGAGGCCCCGCCAGGCCCCCAAACAGCTCTCTGGACGCCCACCAAAGTCCCCACGGAATGCCCAAGAAACCCGCGACGCCTCCACCATGGCCTCCACGCCTCGTCTGGGGGGCCGGCGGAATGGCGCAGGCCTCTGGAATTCATAAAGCTTCTGGCTGACTCCGTGGTCTGCTCAGGCTGATCCCGAGCTTCAGTTTGACTGCCCCCCTGTGCATTCCACTACTTATTCTCGGCGGTGGACGAACCTCCCTCTAGTAAACCACCCTTTAGTGAAAACGGCCTAGGACCGAAACCGACGGACCTGGACCCGCAAAAATGGCGGCCTCGACGCCCTCTCGCGGACCCAAAACGGCCAATCCGCTAATCGACGTGTCAGGGCAGGAGGTCTGTCCACCTCCGATATTCCTGCACTTCAGTGACCAAGGCACCTCGCCTGGGCATCGCTCATGGGTGCGAGACGAAGAAAGACATCTTAGTGCGACGCGCTGTCCTTGGAGACGCACGTCCGGCACGAACGTGTAATACAGAGCCGTGCAGTCCATCGTTGCCCGAGCGGTACGGCCAGAAAGCGCCCGCCACGGAGCTTACACTGAAAAATGTCCGAGCAGGTGCATCACCCTTGCGTGGCTGACGAACATCTAGTATCAGAATGTTCGGGTGGTGCCGAGGATAGTCTGGCGGGAATACTTTTTGGTCACCGGCCGCAGGCGAAGGCGCCGACGGCGTGTCCAGTCAGAGCGGGGCGCGCAAAGACGAATTAACCTAAAGCCAATGGGCCGAAGCCTCACGCGGCACCTCGGCGGCCAGGCCGGCGAGTGGAGGCAGGCTGCTGACGGCGGCTGCCAGGGTAGCTGCACTGCCAGGGGTGCACGCATGCATCGAGCTGCAGGGGGCGGCTGACTACCAGGGTCGCCGGCGGCCAAGGACTGCAACTGCAAGTGAATTGTGTGCACGCTTGTAACGAGCTGCAGGGAGTCTGGCTGCCAGGGTGGCCAGCGGCCAGGGACTGCAAGCTGCAAGCGTAGATGCATACTACGAAGGTACCAGGGTGGCCGCAGCCACATCTGGCGGGAGTACGAGAAGAGTGGTGCTGGGGCCGTCTGCCGCCCGCCTGCCTGCCAGGCCAGCGCCCTGCCGCAGCAGCCGTACGGCAGGCAGACGGGCGGCAGACGGGCGGTGCTCGATCGTTTGAGCAGAGACCGCCGGTCCTGGCATACAAGATAACGCCCTAACATCGAGAAGAGAGTTCTTGGGTCTCTTGCTTCTCGTCTTCCCCTCTGTCCTCCTCCTCCTCTGCTCCTCATCCTCTTGCTTTCGTCTACATCACCATCACCCTGGACGCCCAAAACAACAATAGAAAACACTCTACACCTAGGAGGGTCGGCGGATGTGGCGTAAGCCTGTAGAATGTTCTACGAACGAGAGCAAGGTTCTTAATACATACAACCAGCGTGCTCAAGCAAGGCGGTCCCAGCCAGAAGTGTTCTAAGAGCAGTTCGTGCAAACTACCAAAGGATCTTAGAATATTATTTGGTGTTGGAGGCCTGGAAATTGGCACCAACACCAGCACAGGGGGTTACCTCCACATGGTGAATATGATCCTAGATTTCGGTGTTAGTGGTAATATTTCGGTCACCTGGGAAACCAGAATATTGCCACCATCACCGAGATCGGGATCGTCTTCCCTCGGTGGAGGCACACCGCCGATCTTGGTGTTGGTGTCAACCTCTAGGTCTGCGATGGTGGGCCGATAGAGGCAAGCCAGGACGCCTCGCCAGAGCTCGAGACTCGTGCGCCGCGCAGCTCCCCGGCGCGCCCCGCCGCGGCTGCCTCTGGCCGCGCCCGTGCCGCGGCACCGTCGTGTGGGTCGGCGTCTGCGCCTCCCGCCCAGTGGCCCCGGCAGCCTCCCTCGGCCGGGCACGCGCCGACATGGACGGGGCACCCGTGGAAGCAGCGCGCTGGCGCCAGGTCCGTGGGGCGAGAAGGTACTCCAGATTTCGCCATGAAAGAGAGGGGGTCACAACCCTCACAGACGGGCAATTTCAGACCCCCCCAAACAATCCATGGAAGGGCGGCTTTTTGCCCAGACCCACTGGAACCCTCCAAGACAGCTCAAATCTGAACCCATCCCAAAACAGACCACCCCCCTTTTATTGTGAAATATGGAGTACCCTCACAACGCGGGGCCCGTACCGCCTGCTGTGCTGGCAGGGCGCCCCGCTGATGCTTGGAGACGAGGCCGTCGCTCTTCCACGCGCCCTGCGCCTTGCTCGAATCGGGCATCCATGCCCGAAGGTGACCGCCGCCTCCTCGCCGACCAGCAGTCCCCCGGCCCGACGGGCTCCACTGGCCTCCTGCCAAAGGCCATATCGCTGATGAGGTCCGCCGACTCCGCCGGCACCTCGTCGAAGAACACCGCATCTGGCTCCGCCTCCTCGGCGTCCTCATCGCGGCCTCCTCCTCAAAATCCCGCATGGGCTGCCACAGCTGCAACTGGCCCACGTGCCGACGCCGAAGCCCGCCGTGCTCGGCGCAGTACAACCGCCGCGGGGAGGCGCCCTCCCATCGGCGTCGCGCGCGCGCCCGAAAATCTCAGCCGCGTCGCTGCCGCACCCCGTAGCCCCCACCCATTAAATTTTCCCCAAGTTCCCCATGTGAAAGGCCAGGGTAGCCTGGGTACCCCCCAAGGCGGGGCCAGTGGCAAACGTGCCCGACTAGTCCAGCATGGAGTGAACTCCTCCTTGCCGCAGCGCAGCGCCTCGTAAGGCCGTAGACATGTTCGCGGCAGCTGCGGGCAGCGCCGCGGCAGTGCGTGGCCCCTTAAGGAGACAATCCACGCCCTGTCGGTGCACGCAAATTTCGCGCCCATGCCCCACGTGTCCCGCACCGCGCTTGGCAGAGGAGGGGAAGGCAGGGCCGGCTGGCAAGGGTCTGGCTTCGCCTGGTGCCTCCGCGCCGCATGCCGCGGCGCCCACGGCGCCGCCTCCAGCTTCGCGCTGTGTAACCGCGCGGAGGGGGGATCATCGCCGGCGCTGCGGCAGTCCTGCGCTGCCCCCCGGCACCAGTGTGTCTGTGTGTGTGCTGTGTGTTGTGTGTTGTGTGTTGTGTGTTGTGTGTTGTGTGTTGTGTGTTGCGTGTTGCGTGTTGTGTGTTGGGTTGTGTGTTGTGTGTTGTGTGTTGTGTGTTGTGTGTTGTGTGTTGCGTGTCGTGTGTTGGGTTGTGTGTTGTGTGTTGTGTGTTGTTTGTTGTTTGTTGTGTGTTTTGTGTTGTGTGTTGTGTGTTGTGTGTATGTGTGTGCTGCCGCGGGGGCTATAAGGAGGCCTCCCACATGGGATAAGAGGGTCGCGCAACAACGCTGCTGCGTCGACAATGCATCGGCGATGGATGCATCGGCGCCGTCGGCGTGGAGAAAGTCAGCTCCGCACCAAACCACATCGCCGATGCATTGGCGAAGCGGCGCGACCCTCCGACTCCATCCAGTCGGACAAACTTTGGGAGGCCTGGATTGCATGAGAGGAGGGATGGAGTGCCAGGGACGGAACAATGGAACGGGTTACCTCTAGCAGCAGCACGTAACGCCACCCATGGTGTGTGTGAGACGGTCAGGCGCTGGTCAAGGCGAGCGGTGGGCTTCACCAAAGGCTAATACAGGCACGAAGCGGAAGAGCAAGAGGCACATGCTGCCGCACATGCCGCCTCGCATGCCTCTGGCGCCCGCGGCGCGCCGCCCCGCTGTGCTCCAGAGGCGCTACAGCTAGCTCCGCGAGGGCCTGCGGCACGCCGCGCCGAAGGCCGCCAGCCGACGGGGGTGGCCCCCAGGCAACCACCGCCGGGCGCGCCGCGACGCGATCCGCCTGGCGACGGCGACGGCGACGGTGACGGCGACGGCGACGGTGACGGCGACGGGGACGGCGGAGCTGGCGGCGCGGCCGACGACGACGACAACGACGACGACAACGACGACGACGACGACGACGCAACGACGACGACGACGGAACGACGACGACGACGAAACGACGACGACGACCACGACGACGACGACGACGACAACAACGACGACGGCGCGACGACGACGACGTTGACGTCGACGACAAACGACGACGACGACGCCGACGACGACGACGACGACGAAGACGACGACGACGACGACGACGACGAGCTCCTCTAGGCAGATCGGGCACACGTCCCCGTCGGCCGCTTCGCGGGGGCCGCTGGGGCAGTGCCTCTCGATCTCCTCAAGAGGCGGACGGGGCAAACGAAAGAGGGAAAGGAGGATCTCATCCGGGGGGCGGAGGTGGATCTTCCTCCTGCTCTTCATCCTCCTCATGATATTCCTCCTCCTCCTCCTAAACCTTCCTACTCTTCCTCCTCCTTCATCTCTTCCTCCTGATACTATTTCTACTACTATGATACCGACTACGACTACGACTACCCCCACGCCTACGCCAACGCCTACTACTACTACTACTACTACTACTACCACCACCACCACCACCACCACCACCACCACCACCACCACCACAACTACTACTACTACTACTACTACTACTACTACTACTACTACTACTACTACTACTACTACTACTACTACTACTACTACTACTACTACTACTACTACTACTACTACTACTACTACTACTACTACTACTACTACTACTACTACTAACCACCACCACCACCACCACCACCACCACCACCACCACCACCACCACCACCACCACCACCACCAACACTACTACC